AGATCTTATAGGGGTTACCAAACCATTGTGTATCGGATATTTCAATCTTTATTTGTTGGATGATTTATTGATATCATCAAGACTTGATCCCTAGTTGTATCGGAAGCTATACTTTTGCAACACGGCAGCTGATTATATATTATATTATGAGTGAGTGAATAAAGTTACACCTGCTTTTAGCAATGTTACATCGTCGCTATATGGCTGAAGTATTGTCGATGAGTAATGATATTTTAACTAATTCATGAGAAATGGTAGAGTCATGCTACGACTAGGGACACCAGAAACGCGCTTTAAACATTGTACCCATGTCAGGAAGCGAACTCGGGTCTTCGGAGTGACGAGCCAGCACTTTAACCACTTGGTCGCACCCTTTCAAAGTTAAAGAGGAACAGTCTCTATTGTGCTAGGGCGTATTTAGCCCTTTTAACATATCCGTGTATGAACACAATTGCTGACCTGGGAGTAATGTATTTCGCGATCGATACGTTACGAAATCGTTTGGTTTATGACCAAGTATTTAATTGCACACCTTTAAGACACATCCTGAAATTGAACTCACACTGACGAGCGGCTTCGCTGTTGATCGGATGGTCACAATGGCTACTATCGTACTTGGATTGCTGAACACCCGGCCAGGCCATGCTCAACATTGGGACAAATGGCCTCAATAAAAGGTCTTCCCGTAAAGATAGTCCGCAAGTTCGGATCCTATTTCATATTGTGCATTGATTTATTTTGACGAACCCCCGCGCCCCACCCAAAAACAACAACAACAACAATAACAATACAAAATACAAACAACTCAATAATCCAATTGTGGATTGAAGCGGTGTGGAAAAGAATAATACGTTAGTGTTGATGATACTGCGGAAAATCAGCGATGATAATGACGGCGATGACACAAGCAAGTCCACGAAGACCCCCCCCCCCCCCCCCAAAGTAACATTAACATTGAACAAATATGAGACAAGATTATTACACCTGCACAGACAGCAGTTCTTAAATCCCATAGTGGTTCACGGAACACGCGCCTTCCGCCAAACCCCGCCAAGAGTCAAGTCTGGGACCGTACAATAAAAGAGTAAGCGAGCATTTAACACCAGACGCTTCTCCTGTCGGGGTTGCCGGTTTCTCTATCGATCTGGGCAGTAAGCCTTAGTCAATAGGTGTACTGTCTTCCATGCTGCGTAGATTCCCCATGGAACACGACCGAGTCTACACTGAGATCACTAAATATGTCTCAAGGGTCCATGACGTCATCGGTTGAGTCATTCAATGGAGTCGACCATAATAAACTGTGTTTTTTTTATCAAGTTCATTCTTTCTATAGAAACGTATCAATTTTAAGGAATATTTGGGCCGTGTTTTAATATAACCTGTATGCATTTATGCATGTCATTTTTCTCTGACTTCTAACACTCTTCCGAAACATTCTTTATTAAAAAGTGATTTTTGTTGGCAATGGTGTGTACCCTTCATCCGTTCACCGGCTCTGTCCATGTTGATGATGTGGTAATGTCGGGTATGATAATTGGGACTATAACACATACCATTTCATACCTCAATCTTTTGCACGTGCTTCGCCATCGATTGCCGAAGCAGGGGCTGATCGATCGCGTTCATGTGCACGCACGGTTTTTGTAAGGAGGTGTGTGGTTGGGTGTGTGGGTCTGGGGTTGGCTGTGCGGGTCTGGGGTTGGGTGTGTGGGATGTTGGTGTGTTGGTGTGTTGGTGGGATGTTGGTGTGTTGGTGGGATGTTGGTGTGTTGGTGGGATGTTGGTGTGTTGGTGGGATGTTGGTGTGTTGGTGGGATGTTGGTGTGGTGGTCGGGGCTGGTGGCTGTGGCCATTGCTGTAATCAAACTCGTCTCATAAGCGTTAAGGCCAACGCACCATCAAATAGACTATCCCACTGTCTTCTGTGCAAAAAAAGGGGCGGTCGGGTAGCCTAGTGGTTAAAGCGTCTGTTCGTCACGCCGAAGATCCGGGTACAATTCCCGACATGGGTACAATGTGTGAAGCCCATTTCTGGTGTCCCCCGCCGTGATATTGCTGCAATATTGCTAAAAGCGGCGTAAAACCATACCCACTCACTCACTCTGTGAAATGGAGTCACACCTCTGTCAACAAATGAGGGTTAAACTCATCGTCTCGGAATATGAAATTTCGAAACAAATTTATACACAGACAGAGAATGAGAGAGAATTATGTTTATTTAAGTGCCACGTGTTATATACAGCAAACACGTATAAATGAGCACTTACTATAACATCCGGACAACACGGGGCCTGTGAGGCACTAACATGGACATACAAAACATAATAACGATAATGCACACTTGTATGCGCGCATAACAAACAGCACACACGCATAATAATAATAAACATAAGATACACACACATGTATAAAAACAAACGAAACACACACATCCATAACACAAGATACACACACACACACACACACTTAATAACAAACACAACACAAACACACACGCATAGAAAACAACATACACGATTAATAACAAACATAACATACACGTATAATACTTGGCATAACACACACGCATAATAACAAACATAACACACACACACACACACACACACACACACACGTACAATAACTCGTATAACACACACGCATAATAACAAACATAAAAAACACGCACATGAATAATAAAACGCATAACACACACATACATAATAACAAACATAACACACCCGTATAGCAAACTAACACACATACGCATAATAACAAACATCACACACACACACACACACACACACACATGAATAATAAAACGCATAACACACACATACATAATAACAAACATAACACACCCGTATAGCAAACTAACACACATACGCATAATAACAAACATCACACACACACACACACACACAATTTACAGAATTAAGATTCAATAAGCGACAAGCTACGGTGAAACATTTCGTCAACCATCAGTACAAAGGCTATGACACTTTGCCTCTCATAACTCGGGAGAAGATATCTTAACACAGATACAAAAATAATTGCGTTCTGTCGATTAATAAGGAAAAATGACCCCGTTGTTGTTGGCGCAATCACGTGACTAAATAACACCACATCATCCTCACAAATCAAAATAGCCTAACACCAGCTATATTTAGCCTAATAAGGCGTAGTACTGACGAGGCGTCAGAGGTTTCTTCTGTCGAACAGCCATCGCAGCATGTGTTCAGGTGAACAAAGCGCCGGGATGTCGTCACGGCTATTTCCATCCAAGCTCCCCGCAGCGTGTGCACCGCCGGAGAGGGAGGCAAATGACGGCGACAAGGTTATGAAACACTGTAGGGAGCTGGCAGCCTCCTTTAGGCCCCAACAAGGAGCTGCTCGTAATCCCAGTGCTTAGTCACCAGCGAAGTCTTAGCACGCCCATCGCAAATAACATCATACAACCGTTTCAGCAAAACAGAGATCAATGGTGATTATTTTATCTTACGAACGTATCATTTTTAACTATCGATTTAAGACGAACATATTAGAGGAGAAGAGTATGTTCGTTTAATATTCATGGTCGTATAGATAGATAAACAACAGACAAAATAACTTGTCAATATCCAGACAATCTAGTTTCGTTATTTGTGAGAAATCGACGGCACAACACAATAGGACATGTAGCTGATCTGTGTGGTATACGATTTATATATAGATAGGCTGGTTTTCAGAACAGGAATTATATTATTTGGGAAAGTTAATAATTCATGATTTTTCTTTTTTAAGCTGAGAATGTGCATCACAGTTTTGGGTCTGTTTCGGACAAGGACAAGACTTTGATTTAGCAGTCAATCAGTCATGTTTGAACAACTTTAATCAAATTTGCTGGGACAGCCCGACCCCAGTTCCACTGTACTGATTTCCAATATTGGACCGGAAGTCTGACAACATGCTACTAGATAAAAGTCTTTAGAAATATGCTCGATTCGGGCTGATGTCCAGGGCGTCATTTATGGACTTGACGGTATGAAATAACTAATTTTTCAAACTGGTTAAAATGACCACTAGCTCGTTTGTTTTGTTTGTTGTTTAACGCCGCACTCTGCAATATTCCAGCTATATGACAACAGTCTGTAAATAAACGAGAGATTCACATCATGAGCATTGATTTACGCAAGCAAAATATTATTAGTATGATTAACGACTGATTGGTTGCCAGTATCCATACTTTCACTTCAATATTGAAGAAATAACCGAATTGTTAATGTTTTTGAGGCTATAACAGTGTAGGTCATATATTAGTTAGTGAATTGGGTTTAACACCGCATTTAACAGTATTCCAGTTATATCACGGCGTGTCAGCTTAATGTGGGAGGAAAGCTCGAAGTGATGCAGTTCTCAGATGTTTACCACTTCGGTGAAACCCACGAGCACTGGTATGGTGCTGACAAACATAGAAAAATAATCGGGATTATCAATCATAGGTTTCGGGCTTTCCCGAAGGGACGCAACTCTGCACGGCGACTTGCGGCGCCTTGGACGACTGGGCCACCCGTGACCCCTTATAGTGCCAGAAAGAGTACAGTCCGGCTAAATTATTACTGATCACGAGACAACAACCTACAACCTTAATCATCCGTATTCTGCGATTCCACGATCGCGGAAACATTTGCAGAAAACGTAACTCACTGCAGAATTGCAGAAAAGGCGTAGAACTGACCCTTTTATTTATCAATCAATGCACTAATTTTCAAGATTTTTGTTATTGAATTTTGCACTCGAGTGATGCTTATATGTAAACATTTGACATGTGAGTGAAACATACAAAATAGGAATGCAGCAATAAAACGAAATTTAAAGGTCTGGCACGATTTGATCAACACTTCCAACGACTGTTTCACACTGGTGACGATTTATCCAGACAGCATTGTCTACGTATGGTCACATCGTCTGCTGTATTAGTGAATTTATAACACTGTCAGAAATATCAAATCGAACAAAGATGAAACAAAGCCCTTTACCTCTCGCAGCACATATGACATTTAATCGCAAAAGTGTCGCCATGACAACGTTTAAACGAAATACGATGATGCATCCTGAGCGGCGATGACGTAGCTACCTGTGGCCCCACATCTATTCGCGAAGCTGTATTGTACTGAGATGACGTGGACGAGGATGCTTGTTGCTACTGCTGCTGTTCCCAGTCGGTGGTTACGCCAGCTTGTACGTGGTGACGATCATTATAACGACGCCAGCGAAGATAGGAAATAACATTTTTGAACAAAGTGAAACTTCGTTAATCTGTACTACTGGTCCCTCCGGAACCTTCCTGGTTAACAACTGTCCGGATAAACGAAACATGTACCAAAAACTAATTGGGCGGTGGGGTAGTCAGGTGGTTGACACATTAATCTGTTCGTCGCGCTGAAGTCCGGGATCGATGCCCATAGGTAGAATGTAGAATGTGGTCTCCCCGTGATATTCCTGGAACATTGTTAAAAGCGGCGTAAAATCATATTCACTCACCTAACAATACTCGTAAGATCATAACTTATCATTTTGAAATGTCAAGATCATTATCTTGAACTTTCAACTTATGTATCTTGAAATTTCATCTTAATATCTTGAAATGTCAACTTAGTATCTTGAAATTTCAACTTAGTATCTTGAAATTTCAACTTAGTATCTTGATATTTCAAGAAAAAAAATCCCAAAAACAAATGGCCCTAAAAGGTTTCTGCAAAGAATAAGCTTTACAGACCGATTCCGAGTAGGAAAGTCGAACTAGTGTTTCCAGTCTGCCGAGGGTTCGCTTTCACCAAGGACCATCAAACTTGACCTCGACAGGAAACCAGGCGTACTGATAAAAATGTCCACCAGGTCCCTTGCTTAAAACCGCCGTTGAACCCATCAACCCCATCAAAATAATTATGGTTTTATCACATACCATATACCGATATATAGTCTCTGGTTTTATATTATAGGCTATTTAAACTCTATATTAGTGCATATATTCAGAGTTTATTCCCCTTAAATCACTTTATCCAACTTCTTCGTTAATTTATACCCGAGGACTTGCTTGGCCTTGAGATATCCATGGTGTTATAAACGCTCCAACTGTCCCCTCTGATTTATGAGAACGCGGGGAGTAGCTGCACACGTGCAGGTGTAAAGGTCAGCTACCTTCATCAGTCAAACCAGGTCACGGTGACCCAGTAGCGTTAACTTAAAGTCGCCTATTTTTCTTTTTTCTAAAAGTGAATAATTTAAGTTTAGAATGACCAAATAAACAAAAACGTGGCTGCGTTAAGTGGATGAACATTGCTGTCTGCAGTGAAACGTGACACCGGGGATAAATAAGCTCTCAACAGCGCTGTGCTTTAAACGAGGTTCCAATTGCCATGTAAATAGACGCGCCCTCCGTCAGCCTCGGGACTGACCCTCAGGTGACCCTGGTCAGCTGATTACTTAACGCTGGTCAATGGACACGTTCTCTCACAAACAACTGAGTAAACTCGGGCATTGAGAAGCTTCGGTGATTTGTGGGTAGATGCATGACCTAGAACACAAGTACAAGAAGCGCCTTCTTTTCTTGTAGGGACAGTTCCCCTGCGTCACTCCATTTTTGCATAACAAGTAGGCTTCGCTACAGCTACCCTGTAGGGATATTGACATGTTTACACCCGAGATGAGATGAGAGTTGTGATTGACCTAATTTGTCCAATATTCGATTAACCTACTTATACAACTCGAACGGTTGTGTACTTTCAGTGGAAGATTCTCGGCATAGAGCAACTTAATGTTTTTGGGTAGAAGCATGTGGAAATAACAATTAAGTGGTGTCAACATTGATACAATGGAATACACATAAAAAAACATTTTATGCTCCATGCATCCTACGAAAACATATTTTTGTGTGTAGAGCTTCGAATGTCTGGGGTGGAAAGGTCAATCGTTGTCAGCCAGAAAGATAAAATCCACTGTGTAAATCTAATCAAGTTATGAAAAGACCTTAAAAAGACCCTTCATATCTCTATGGACCCATGAAGATCCGGGGTAGAATAGGTCTTCAGCAACCCATGCTTGCCGGAAAAGAGGCGACAAACGGGATCGGGTGGTCAGGCTCGCTGACTTGGTTGATGCATGTCATCGTATCCCAATTGCGTCGATCGATGCTCATGATATCAATCACTGGATTGCTTAGTTCAGACTTGATTATTTACACGGCCGTCATATAGCTGGAATATTGCTGAGTGCGGCGTTAAACAAACAAATCATATCTTTATCACATTAACTTTGAAATAAGTTTAAACAAAACTAATTAAAAACATTGAAATGTGCATACGATTTATTAGATGTTCAACATGAAATGTGCTCAGTCTATCAATAACTGGCAGAGGATTTAAGAAAATGAAGTATGGTAGGCACCGGATATTTTCCTTTTACTTTTTGAATAGAGGCAAGTGATTGGGGTAAGCTGAGGCCGCCTTGAACAGTTTTCAGGTCTATCACGATTTGCGTAATCGTCCATGTGCGTTGTTACTTTGCTCGTCATGCTACGAGGCATGATCTACATTGTAATAAAAAATATTCTTAAAGGTTCGTCAATCCATTCAAGGTAAAACAAAAATGAAGATTCTCTTGTTTCCAGTTCTATTGAGCAACCACGCATAGACATGAGGTTGAACGTCATTTCATGCTTGCTTAGGTACATTTTCAAATGGTATAGCGCACAACAGAATGCGAACAAAGAAAATACTGGTCACACGTTGCCCTGCGTCTGAAGGGTGTTAGAGTTACTTGCCCTTGTCGTGTACCAGAACGCTGAAAAACACAGCGCGGTCTGAAAAGATTATGACGGAAAACAGGAAATATTTTTGTTATCTATAATAAATAATAACACTTTGTATGTTTATTGTAGTTATCACATAGTAAATGAACGTCTTCCAATTATAAACTATGGGCCCACAATCAAACCTGTGACCAGATCCAGCCGGTAATATGTGAGTATGTAATGCAAGCGAGGGTTTACATTACGACAGTGAATGAAACACGTATCGCTATTAACAACTTAAATGAGGATCGAATGGTCACAATGGATGCAGAGTATAGCAGTGCTTGGGCATGGGACGTTCGGACCGCCTCCGTGGTCGAGTGGTAGAGCGTCCGCCCGGAGAGCGGAAGGTCCGGGGCTCGATTCCCGGCCGCGTCATATCAAAAGACGTTAAAAGATGGTACTTGTTGTGACCCTGTCTGGCGCTCGGCATTAAGGGACTAGAGGTACAGTATACTGTGCCTGAGTGGGATATTCATGTTAAACTGCGACATGGTATCTCAGGGAGCTGGCGCTATAAATCGGCATTAGTCCGGACTAGTACAAGTAGATCCCCCCCCACACACACACACAGACCCCCCCCCCCCCCACACACACACACACACGCATGCTCGTCGCTATATAAATGCAACAATCTTTGACGCGACGTTAAACCCCATTTCACCCCACCTCACATCTATCATTACGTTGGTGCTCACACTATCAACCTATGGGATACGTGTGACATTGCTGACTCAGGATCCGGGTCTCAGGTGGTATGTGGCGGTGTATGAAAAAAGGTGTTGAATGTAAAGGTGTGATGGTGTTTTGCTTTGTTTGTTTGTTTGTTGTTTAACGCCACACTCAGCAGTATTTCAGCTATATGACGGCGGTGTGTAAACAATCGAGTCTGGAAGTGTTAAAAGTAGGAGATATTGCAAGAGTTAGTGAGTGAGTAAGGGTTTAACGCCGCTTTTAACAGTTTTCCAGTTATATCACGACATGTCAGCGTGGTGTGGGATTTGTTTGTTTGTTTGTTGTTTAACGCCACACTCAGCAATATGCCAGCTATATGACGGCGGTATGTAAACAATCGAGTCTAGACCAGACAATCCAGTGATTGACATCATGAGCATCGTTCTACTCAATTGGGATACGATGACATGCATCAACCACGTCAGCGAGCCTGACCATTACGACAAGCATAGTCGCCTGTTACGGCAAGCATGGGTTGCCGAAGACCTATTCTACCCCGGATCTTCACGGGGGGACAAGCATGGGTTCCTGAAGATCTATTCTCCTCCGGATCTTCACGGGGGGACAAGCATGGGTTCCTGAAGATCTATTCTACTCCGGATCTTCACGGGGGGACAAGCACGGGTTCCTGAAGATCTATTCTACCCCGGATCTTAACGGGGGTACAAGCATGGGTTCCTGAAGACCTATTCTACCCCGGATCTTCACGGGGGGACAAGCACGGGTTCCTGAAGATCTATTCTACCCCGGATCTTCACGGGGGGACAAGCATGGGTTCCTGAAGATCTATTCTACCCCGGATCTTCACGGGGGGGGGGGGGACAAGCATGGGTTCCTGAAGATCTATTCTACTCCGGATCTTCACGGGGGGACAAGCACGGGTTCCTGAAGATCTATTCTACCCCGGATCTTCACGGGGGGACAAGCACGGGTTCCTGAAGATCTATTCTACCCCGGATCTTCACGGGGGGACAAGCACGGGTTCCTGAAGATCTATTCTACCCCGGATCTTCACGGGTCTTGTGTGATGGTGTCGAAGGTGTAAGTGTGTAAATCGAAGGTGTGGAATATGAAAGGTTGAATTTGGTGATTAGGGATGTGAATACGAAGAAAACAAATTAAGACTCGGTTTGCGTTTCATCGTATTTCGATTTATCTGGCGAAATTTTAACACATCACCTTGTCGTATAGCTGTGCGGCGATACTCACAGAAATCTAAAGCCACGACTAACTCACATTACATTCGAATGCGACTAAAAATACAGCAATATTTCTGTGATGAAATATTTTCGTGATTACCATCTACGAACCCCTGAAATATCAGCGTTATCGCTATTTTCGTCAGTATGTACTGGTTCTAGTGTTTAAATACATAAACCCAACACAGTGTTTGGGGCATCCTCAATTATCCATTCTCCAAAACACAATAAGCTGGATAATCGAAGATTAATTCGGGCTGACCACAGATCTTCTACGTCGTTCATTTCGCAACTTTCAGCAATATTCCAGCAATATAACGACTGGGGAGACTTGAAATGATATTATACCTATGTAGGGAATAGAACCCGGCCATCGGCGTGACGAGCGAACGCCTTAACCTCTAGACTTTATCAACGCTCCTTTCAATCTTTCTGGGGAGCCTGCATTGTTTGAATGGAAGACTAAAAGAAGTATATTCAGTATATAGAAAATTGCGCAATGAAAGCAAGGATTGTGTATATATTCTGATACTACATCAGTCAATCATTGTTGGTACGTATTGAAAATAGACGACAATTTTGTACAAATTCAGACCGAAAATCGAACTCCGCAAATGAGATGCTCAGAAGAGATTTACCGGCCGCTTCATTCAATTTTTACAGACAATCTATGGAAGTCCCATTGACTTGTCGGAATGGTGACAGAGGAAATTAAAGGGTAATGTACACTGAATTTAGAAACTTGCTGAATATGTAGAAATAACACCACGGCTAACATGTACCCCCCGGGGCCTCAGTAACTCTTTTTTCTGACAAGTTTCCTTATCGATCCTGGGCCAGACAAACCTGTGATTGAAAAACGAACAACGATCCATATCATCAAGGCATCGTGGCAAACAATCAGCCAACCACTTTCTGCACAATGACCATGAAGTATCAACTATCCAGTTTTACCATGAGGCTATACTCAACGAAGGGACCTGCACGGCCATCGGAATGATTACATGGGGCGAGACCCGTGAAGATGAACCGCCTCTGTGGTCTAATGGTAGAGCGTCCGCCCGGAGAGCGGAAGTTCCGGGGTTCGATCCCCAGCCGCGTCATACCAAAAGACGTTAAAAGATGGTACTTGTTGTTACCCTGTCTGGCGCTCGACATTAAGGGGCTAAAACAAGGACTGGTTGGCTCAGTATACTGTGTCTGAGTGGGGTATTCATGTTAAACTGCGGCATGGTATCTCGAAGCCTAGCACTATAAAACGGCATCAGTCCGGACTAGTACAAGCAGCCACACAAACACACACACGTGCATGCACGTCGCTATATAAGTGCAATAATCTTTGACGCGACGTTAAACCCCATTTCACCTCACCTCACCCACCCGTGAAGATCGGGGGTAGAATAGGTCTTCAGCAACCTATGCTTGTCGTAAGGGACGACTAACGGGATCAGGTGGTCAGGCTCGCTGACTTGGTTGATGTCACCGTAATCCATTTGAGTAGGTCGATGCTCATTATGTCAATCACTGGATTATCTGATCCAGGTCTGGTTTACTTCTTTGAGGATTGAACCAAATCACTAACTAATTTTGCGTGAAACTGAGGATCAAGGTCCTTTAACTGGAGTGGCGTTGTACCTGCATATAATGTTGTGTGAGGAATGGGACAAGATGTACTGCGCTTGGGATGTGATTTCCTGAACCGGAATTAATGTCATTGAACCAGAAGAGCATATTAGTTTCTCATCAAGATAACTAGATGCATAGAACATTCTGTAATATGATTTTGTCTCAGGTATTTCAAGAAATAATTGTAGCCTGAATGTGCTGGACGTGGCCCCCATATCATTAAATGGTAAGTCCCCATCACTTTTGGAGCCTTCCAGAAACTCGGTGAAGTGGCTCCTTCTGGGTTTTCAAGTACTCGTGATCCCCTCTCTAAAGATTGTGTGGATGTACCCCAAACAGGGCGTAACAACATTTTCCCAGAATATGCTGAAAAAATACTTTGCTTCCGGTATTTAAAAAGATAATTGTAGGCTGAATATGCTGGGAGTTGCCCCTAGAATATTACAATATAATGTCCTCATCCTTTTCCAGAAACGGCACTGAAGAGACTGATTCTCGTTTTGTAAGTTGATCTACTTTCTAGTTGGTAAACATAATGTGGGTGACAAAGGCCCACCGTATCAGCAGCAACTCACCTCTACGCCACTAGTCTACCCTGAAGTCTCTTTCAATGACGACCTGTGCCTTGACTGGCCACTCCACACGGTTGATGCCTAATGTACGGAGGGCCTCGTAGACCTCACTCATGTCCACAGACACTGACGAGAAGATGAGGAGGTGGACTCTCTCGTCAACTTCATCCTGCGTCTCTCTATGACTAGCATCTTCACCTTTGTCATGAACTCGGCGCATCTGTGCAATGTGGGCTATCTCCTGCAGGTGCTTGTACACATGGGCTGTCAGGCCTACAGGGTGGTCTCCGTAGATGTCAATATTATAGGCTAGGCCGAGTTTACACGAGTGGCTTTTGCCAAAGGAAAGACACTCATATGGAGATTCACCAGTGTGAAAACAAACATCTGCGGTGGTCATTTGAGGAACGTTTTGAGGATGAGCTCTGAATGGAATCCTGTTCACAACAATTCGATCTCCTGGAAATAGGTAGCCATGTGTTTGTTTATCAGACAGAAGTCTTTCCAAGTCAGTTTGTGTAGGAATCGAGAACTGGATCTCATTACGAGGCAGCTGATTAAGGTGAAGGTCGTTCACACGAAAGGGAAAACAATGGATAGGCTGGAAGGAGCAAAGCATTGGTCAATTATTCATTTACAGGACACAGGACATCAGACAAGCCAAACCAATATGCTGAGATGAACTTTCTGGAATAAATTAAATGTAAAATGTATATTATCCAAATGGATACTACGATTATGCTTTATAAAAAATAAATATGGAATCTTTAGAAGTGGGCTGTATGATATTGGTAGGGATTTTCTTGACATTGAATTGGTCTTGGATATAGATTTACTTACTGAAGAAACGTTTGAAGTTATGGAGTTTTGGGTGAAGGCTTTCATGCTTTGTTTCAAAAACAGTGTGAAAACATACAATACTCTTTTGTTTCTTTGCCCCCTCCCCCCAAAAAACCCCCACAATAAATAAATAAATAAAAATGAAAATAATAAAAAAAAATAATGTAAAAAAATATATATAAATAATAAAATAATGAATCTTGAATGAGAGATTAAACCACATTTTACCTCAGCTCTAATGCCAATGAAATCAGCTTTATAGGTTGACATAAAATTATGTTGAAATGTACATTACCCTTTCCAAAACTATAGAAGAACCCTGCGCGTATGGATGCGACAGCATCGGGTGCCCATATTCTGTCTCAAACATTTCATACAGGATATTCTTATTGCTGGAATAACCTGACTTGATGTGATGTAAGAGCTGGGCCATGACGCCTTGACCTCCGAAACATAGGGACAAAGGTAAGGGGTTAAACTGAAGTTTGGCGCAAGGGTAGCCAAGTGGTTAGTGTGTTCGCTGGTCAGATAGACACTAGTCCTGTTCCAAAATTAGTAAACAGTAGTGTAAAAACGTACACCACACTTATGTTTCTTAACCCAAAACAAAATCCTATACTTCTAATGTCAAATACATACAGCTAAAAAAAACCCATACAATTATGTTGAAATGTACATTACCCTTTCCAAAACCATTGAAGAACCCTGCGCGTATGGATGCGACAGCATCGGGTGCCCATAATCTGTCTCAAACATTTCATACAGGATATTCTTATTGCTGGAATAACCTGACTTGATGTGATGTAAGAGCTGGGCCATGACGCCCTGACCTCTGTAGGATGCGTGTGTACGTCCGCCCGTGAACAGCAATGTTCTACCGCCATCCAGGAGTCTAGCACATGCGAACATCATCTGCAATAGATAATAACCGAGTTGTTTTTACGCTGCTTTAAATCATATTTTTAGGATCAGCTTGGAATGGCCCAACAGGGAGCGACGCGCGACGCATGCCGTCATTGCCAGAACGTTTGGATGCGCCCATTTACCGTTGCCAGGTTGATGCAACGGTTACGTCAGACAGGCCGAGAAGCGGAAGACCACGGGTGACCACGCCCATTCAAGACCGCTACATCCGGACAATTCACCTTCGAAACCGCTTCGTCATGGCGACGTTAACGGCAGCGACGGCACTGCGACACAGGAGCACATCGACCCCACCGATGCGTGGGTGTTGACACCTCAACATCGCCTCGACAGAAATATAGACCAGGAGACTGCGTGACAGGGCACGTGTTATGTTCTCCGATGAGTGCAGATTCTCTGTCTTCAGGAACGATGGTCGGCAACGTGTTTACAGACGAGTTGGTGAACATCCAGCACCGAATTGCATTCATCTAGTCCAGGTATTTGGAGGCGGAGGCGTAATGGTCTGTTGGGAACCTGCAGTGTCTTGAAAACGAGGCTCGTGGTTATTCATGGAAACATGAATGCATAGTGATATCGAAATAAAGTTTTGAGACCAGTTGTGGAGCCATTCATCCAGCAACAGTCCCGTGGAATCATTTTCCAGCACGACAATGCGACGCCGCATTCGCATGGTTGACGCAGAACTTCCTTAACAACGCGAATATTCAGGTTTTGCCATGGCCGTCATGCTCGCCGGATATGAACCCCATTGAACATGTATGGGACCACCTCGATCGCCACGTCAGAAGTCGCCCAGTGGCTCCGGTCAACCGCCGGCAGTTGGAACAATGACTCCTTGACGAATGGCAATGCATTCAGACATTTGACGTCATCGGCCCGTCGACGTCTTCTGGCGTGCCTTAATGCTCAAGGTGGACATACCCGATATTAACGTGACATTATGATGAGTATTATGACATTTTACACACTTGCCTCGTCATGTGTTATGACTGTGGCTTTCATTGTTGATCTCACGCGTCTTGATTGAAATGAATTTTTGTACACATGATGTTGAAAGATTCCTCTAATGATATATACCACTATGAATTTTCTGTATAGATTTGTTTTTCTTCCATAACCTTTCAAACACTTGGTATCGTTTCTTTTGGACATGAATGTATACACAGAAAGACCATTGTTTTTAGGCCAAAGATGTTTACCCATCTGGGTTCGGTGATGCCTAACGAAGAACTATAATCAGGGCTAATTGGATTCCGCAATTAACGGATTCTCACGAGATTAAGGTAAGGCACTGTGGCGCCTTAGATCACTTAGAAGTGCTCCTTCCGTATGAAACGATGTCTTGGAGACGCCCAGGCCCACACCCACGCCCACGCCCACGCCCGCCCGCGCCCACGCCCACGTCCACGCCCACGCCCACGCCCACGCCCACGTCCACACCCACGCCCGTCCACATGCACGCTCACATAGAAAGATGGCAAGTTTCAAAGTCATAATAACAGGTTTCAGGTGAAAAAATATTCCAACAGACCAGTAAATTATTCCACAAACATGCTTCGTCTGATGTTTTGCTGGAGTCTAGTGCCTACAACTAAACGGTCTACACCACCCTGTATACGTACGATTCGGTTGTCGACTTCACCAAGGTGTGCTGATAAGTTTGGGTCTGTGACTGTGCTGTGGAATCCTTCTGGAAGATAGTCTCGTCCCCGGTGCACATTCTCGTTAATTTTCATCACACCTTCGTAATCATTGATTGTGGCTTTCCGGAAGCTTACTTTGACCTCGGAAGATCTGGTACAGAAGTGCCGGTTGTGTGCGTACTTCAGACTCGTTGCGAATCGTTGCAAGGCGTTTCGTATCATGACTGCTCGTTTGTCTGCGAGGAAAAGGTGAGTGACAATATTATTGTTTATTTTTCGATTTTTGAAAGGCCTTCGATTCAATCAGTAGAGATCTTTTATGGAACGTTGTTGCCACACATAATATTCATGGATGTATGTTAAATAGTATGAAAGACTTGTATTGTAAGATAAAGGCTTTGTGTCAAGTTATTTTTATATCAGAATATTTTGACTCATATGGAGTCAGACAAGGTTGTGTTTCAGATCAGTTACAATCTGATCTTCGATCAAGGTATTTTCATCAAGACAATCAAAATATTTCTACTATATATCAGATATATAACATAACTGTTTATATATTTGCCTTGTGTAACCAGAGTTTCGTCATAAATATCTTAAGTATATACTTCTTCACTTCAACAGGGACTTTAATACACATTTTGAAATTTTGAATTCTTGTAATCCAGTTACTATTGTTAATTACAGTTATTATATCAAGGGTGCATTAGCTTCTTTGAGAGGCATTTAGAAGTTGGAGTACTAAGTAAGGATAAGATTTATGGATGAACAACTTCTTTTATTACAATGACAATTAGGGGCTGCATGAGCTATGCGTTCCTTGTACTACTAAATGCTACACGGTGTCTTCGCAGGACGCTTAATTAATAGGATTAAAAGTTGTTGTTGCAAGAGGTTCAGTCAATGGAGCATCTCCGAGAACTGTCACGATATACTTTTACTATTACTGTGCTGAACTGAGTTTAAGACGCAGTTGTGCTCACCCATTATTATCATTTATGTGCTCAGTGACTATAAAACAAGAGCGGGTGTAGAGATTTCTATCATTCCATAATGTCAAATGTGCAGATGGTAACATTCACAATATACATTTTTCAACTATTTGCAATGTCAGAATTATTTATCTGTTAGGGATATATCAATGTAATTGTAATATCTTGTTATTATGTAAATTATGAAATAAACAATTTGATGTAATGTTTTGTTGTTACAATCGATTCATGCGTCATCGTTTTAACCAAATACCTTATAAAGTAATGTACAGTAAACTACGTTTATAACGAACTGACGGATATAACGAGCTTATTTTTAGACCCGGCTATTTGCTGTATATATGCTGTATATATATGCTTATAACGAACTACGGTCATAACGAACAAAAATTAATGGTCCCTTTGAGTTCGTTATAACCGTAGTTTACTGTACTCTTGAAACAACATTCCCAAACGTAGTGATAATGCTGTCATCAGGCGAGCTGATCCTGAACAAGTTTGTTTAGATAAAAGAACTGTAAACAAAACCACGGTTATCAGGGGCGACCTCCTGCGACTTAACCGTGACACACACCTGCAACATCTATAAGCTGTCTATTGTCTGCAGACCCGTGAAGATCCGGGGTAGAATAGGTCTTCAGGTACCCATGCTTGCCCTAAAAGGCAACTATGCTTGTCGTAAAAGGCGACTAACGGGATCGGGTGGTCAGGCTGGCTGACTTGGTTGATGCATGTTGTCGATCCCAAGTGCGTGGATCGATGTTCATCATATCAATCACTGGATTGTCAGGTCCAAACTCGATTATTTACAGACCGCCGTCATATAGCTGGAATATTGCTGAGTGCGGCGTTCAACAACAAACAAACAAACAAACATTCCTATTCTCTCCAAACCATTCATCTACACGTTTTGTCGAAAACACAAGCGGCCGTATTTACTAATCTCTCGTTGACAGATTTGGTCGGAGGCTGTTTTCTCCGCATTCCGACCTTAAACTTCTCATGAAAGTCGGAAGTCTGACCCTTTCCTTCACCCAACTATAGTGACCGATCTCGTCAACCCCATTGACCGTCTGAAAGAAAAAACGGGGCGTTTCTCATTCGCCGTATTTAACCAGTCGCCCATTGGCCGTTTTAAATATTAGTTGGTTTCGTTTCATCCCGATCTTAGATACACGTCTTCCCATACTTCGCCCACTTTTGTAATTTCGTGCAGACAAACTAAGCTGAGCATGTCTGATACATAGTGGAAGTGATGTCCCAGAATAATATAATGTCCTACGTATAATCTAAGACTTCTGGTTCGCAACTAGTTACAACACGCCTCGTACTTACCTCGAGCAATACACTGTAGCTCCTCAGTGTAACCAGGTCATGGTAACATGCATATCACCGAGTATCACCAAAGCCTGACGGCTATGTAATGCTACGCTCGCTCGTGGCTAGACTTTATTTACCACTGCGTCTGGTTGCGCTAATTATTAGAGTAAAGACAGAGCAGGGACAATACATGTATACTAGTTAATAGTTTTACATCACACCGTACGACACTAGCAATATCAGGCCAATAACCACTACTGTCGTCCTCCACACATTGTGCCGCCCTTTCTACACGTGTCATCTGACGTGTGTTATATTTATAGCGGCTGAACATACATTGTACCATCTAGGGTTGTTATATCGTGTAATGTTACCCCGACAGGACCGACTTAAATGTTAAAATGAACAGTGTTTCAGTTATATCACGTTGGGGTTTGGTAATTGTCATAACGCGTTGTTTTCGTCTGAATTATCCCTTTCATGGCAACAAAGACCATTGCTGTTATGATCATCTTTTGTTGTCTTGTTGTTCGGCAACCACGTTATGACACCATGTTTAATATAAGTATTAAGCTAATTCTCATCTTGATATAAAGAGTGATTTTTTATGTTTTATTTATGTTGCCATGCTATTAAGGTCCACAGTTGGATGAGATTGCATACCGTCTCCACGTTAATATTCCTGAGCTTAATTCAAACATTACAAGGGGCGGTCGGGTAGCCTAGTAGTTAAAGCGTTCGCTCGTCACGCCGATGACCCGGGTTCGATTCCCGACATGGGTACAATGTGTGAAGCCCATTTCTGGTGACCCCCGCCGTGATATTGCTGGAATATTGCTAAAAGCGGCGTAAAACCATATTCACTCACTCACTCAAACATTACAAATGTATCATTACCTGGTTACGGCCTATATAAACATTAAAAGTTACATTGATAGCCACGCGTTTCATAAATAATAGTGACGAATGCCTCCGAAATGTTGAAAAGTATCTACATGTTGTGGAATGGCTGAACGAGTAAGTGAATGAGTCAGTTAACATTGAACATCACCTCGACAAAACCCCAGCCTCACAGCGACGAGATCTATTGAACATCACCTCGACAAAACCCCAGCCTCACAGCGACGAGATCTATTGAACATCACCTCGACAAAACCCCAGCCTCACAGCGACGAGATCTATTGAACATCACCTCGACAAAGCCCCAGCCTCACAGCGACGAGATCTATTGAACATCACCTCGACAATACCCAAGTTTTGTTGAAAGGTAGCGCAATATAGGAATTCACATTGTTGTCATACTGTATATTATAATTTTTATTTATGGGCAATATGGCGAAGTTCACTGAGTACACATGGCTTTGACCCTTGGCGACCTCGGCTCAGAATACGTGCCCCATAATTGCCTTAAGAGTCGAACAATGGGATCGGATGGTCAGCTATGTGACTTGACTGGATCGTACCCGATGGCGAAGGATGTCAATCCATTCGTCACCACTGCTTCTTTCTGTCACCTACAAGAAGACTCGTCTCCCTCTCGATGGCCGCCATGGATCGAAACCGCACAAGCAATGAAGTATGCGCCTCAGGATATTGGTACGTCGGTCAGCATCCCGATATATTGTTTCAATTAATTCGGCTCATCCACCTAATAGAAGAGGCTCTTAACCAACGAAAACACAGACAATGTTCAATAGTTTTATTGCGTGACAGTTTCATCAGTACTGTAATTGAGTCAAAACGTGAACCACCATTACCATAAGTCTGGACTGTTGTTTGATCGGGTATAAATTAAAATCTGGCCTCAGGGGGGAGGGACCAGTGCAACGGGTCGGTAGCGTTTTCACCAGAAATTCTGACACAGCACGGGAACGATGGGGCTTTGCGTTGGCATCCGTAAATACCCGTCGATTGTCAAATTACAATATTCGGTTCAGGATGTTTGGGATGTAGCTATCACCGTAGAGATCGTCTGCCATGTCCAGCTACAGTCATGAAGAATTGCCAGCTCGGAGGTTCACACAGTTTAACCAACGCTTTTAAATCGTTCACACTTCAATGAACCCATCCAAACTGTCGTTCAATTCTTAAAGGAGCTCATTGAATTTTATAAGTTAACGAAGCATACTTCCGTCATTAATTGTGATAGAGATTACTTTAACAAGCTTTGGTCAAGCTGCCATGCTGTATTTCTGTGAATATATTGTCATGCAAAACCCTGTAAATGCTCTAGAAAAATAAACAAATTTTAAAAATAATTTCTATAAGTGTCCTTTATTATTTCATGGGTAATAAATAATTTCCATGTGCATATATAGAAATACATCTCTAGACATGGTGGATAGGACTGCAAGGTACACATATGAACTGTGTATACTATTTGTTCATGCTGTCCATGAAAGGACAAATTCAGTCATAAAGTACATCCGTTTTAAATTTTCATTTCTGGCAAGGAAATGACAAACTCAAAATTGCGACTCTAAACTAAATATGCCAGTGAAATTCATTGTTAACCTTATTTTAAACCGAAAACCGCTTTTGTCTCGTGAGTTATTTTCATGTCATATAAAATTAAAAAACCCCAGTAACCTGCAAATACCAGATGAACAGCTGAGAATAATTGAGTTGAGATGCTTGCCAAATATACATTTGGCAAAAGAATATATCTATATCAGAAAAGTTAACTTTAAAAACAGGAATACGACAGCGCCTACGTTTTACCATAAAAAGCGTATGCAATAAGAGTTATCGTTCTTGTTTGAAGTAGTTCCCGAGGTTATAGCCAATATGAGATTCTACGAGATTCTACGAGAGGGACGCAAGTCTCCGTTCAGTTTGTCCAGAAATGGCACTAGTTGGCAGCGAATGGATGTCGATCGATGTATCAACCATTGGTTTATCTGGTCTAGACTTGATTATTTTACAGGCTGTTGTTATAACGCTGGACAATGTAGAGTGCGGCGTTAAATATACTACAGTCTTAGTTGTGACCCAGAAGCACCACGGCTATTCCTGAGTGAAGCACTTTTCCATCACAACTTGTGTCTTGACTGGCCATTCTGACTCGCTGAATCCCAATTTGTGGAGGGTCTCATGAATTGCAGTGTCAACAGACATACAAGTAAATATGAGGAGGTGTATTTGATCAAGGTTTGCGCTTTGTGCTTTGTTAACATCACTTCAATGTCCTTGGTTACGCTGTACACTGTGGGCTATCTCCAGCAGGTGCCTGTGTACATGGGCTCTGAGACTTTTGGGGTGACTTCCATAGATGTCAAGGTTATACGCCAGGCCGAGTTTACACTGGTAGCCGGTCCCAAAGGACAGGCACTCTTGTTCGGGATACTTGCCAGTGTGATAACATGCGTTACTGTTCATGAAAGGAACGTTATGGGGATCAGTTCTGAGAGGGATCCAGTCCACAACAAGTCTTCCGCCAGGAAACAGGTGTCTATTGGGTTTGTTGGGAGACATCAACTTTACTAAATGTTGGTGAGTTGACGTAGAAACCTGAGTGTTTTGCAGGGGAAGGGCTTCAACCGGCAGGTCGTTCACAGGAAAGGTGAAACAGTGGACACGCTGGAAGGAAATGAAACATTGAAGAAGATTGATGATTAATTAATTCATTCATTTAAAAGATAATCTTACTGAATATTCAATTCAAAGGATTCGAACGTAGATGAGTTACATGTAATTACCTCTTCTTCTTTTGTGTTCATTCCCATAGGGACTTGGTAAAGACTGATTATAAGAAAAAAAATATCTTATAATGCGCTGGCTTCTACGCATCAAAGCATGCTCAAAGCGCTGACAACACACGTGCATTAGAGTTAAATGACTGAATTGTCAAACCAAAAGGTTCGAGTCTTGAAAATATCAAGATGGGGCAGCACTGAGGGAAATTGGAAGAGCATTCTAAATCATTTCAGGAATTACTTAAAACGTTCGGGCACCAAAGGATTTAAGTTTCCATGTGTGAATGACCAGCTGAAGTTTTGTCACCAGACCGCAAGTTCCCAGCTGCTTGGTACATATGGACAACGTCGTTGAGATAAGGGGCGGTCGGGTAGCCTAGTGGTTAAAGCGTTCGCTCGTCACGCCGAAGACCCGGGTTCGATTCCCGACATGGGTACAATGTGTGAAGCCCATTTCTGGTGTCCCCCGCCGTGATATTGCTGGAATATTGATAAAAGCGGCGTAAAACCATACTCACTCACTCACTCACTCGTTGAGATAAGATGGAGCAGTGCCATTTACAGGGGCAGGGTAAGTGAAAGGCTCGTAACACGGAGCATGTGTGTCCTACACGGGACCTTGTTACATTCCTTGCCGCAGTGTTTTGGAATTATTAATTTATTTGTTCATTTAGAAGATAGTCCTAGTGAGTATTCATTTCAGATGATTTACATAGCTTACATTGTAGGTACATGTGATTTATTGATTAAAAACCGAACGCATCGGTGGTCATCAACAAAATCATGGTCTAATATAGATGGTGGACAATGTTTCCTTTTTACTTCGAATAATCAACCAATTCGAACAGTTATGATGTACATGTAGCTGGGTAGGTAGGGTATTCGCACGTCCTGAGGATGTAATTCAACACAAGACGACATATGTTGATTAAACCTAGCAATAGTACTTAAGCAGCGTGGTATCTCTGTTCTCTGCTGGGGCGGCTGATACATACATTGTGTCCTGTTGGTTCCATCAGACGTTTAAAAAAAATAGTTATACTAATCATTCTGTGTTTTATGTTGAGAAACACCTTACCCTTGTCAATACCTCAGAAATACACTGTTTGCTGACTTGAGACAGAATTGGGTGTCCTCCATCAGTTGCGAAAATATCATTAAGGATGCCCGTCCTGCTGGAGTAGCTTGCCTTGATGTGGCGAAGGAGCTGTCCCATTATGCCTTGACCTTGGTGAGCAACGTTCACACGCCCGGCTGAAAGCAGGAAGGTTCTTCCTCCATCCAGGAGTCTTGCACATGCAAAGGCAACCTGATTGGACAATACGTGAACATGAAGGGGACCTACAATCCACAGATCCAATCGGCTGTGTAGTTGTGTGCGCGCGCACTACCACCACCCCTTTTTAATTGAATAAAGCGACAACACCGTTTCCATAACCATTAGAAATCTCTGCATAAAGCAGAGTCGACAGTACGATTCTGACTCTATCATTAGCATGTGTTAAGGAATCACTATGAAATAGTGATGCTTCCAGGTATTCGTGGAAAGCTGAGCAGTTCCTGCCCCACTGGTGGCACCCGTCACAAACACATACAAAGGCAAGTCAATTGTTCACCTGATAAAATACTGGAACAAAGGGTACACGTCAAAATTGGGAATTGTGTCGGACATAATTTTGGTCACTGGTCCTGGTTCGTGAGGCCCTCTTCACCAACATCCCTCTACAAGAAGCGCTTGACATCCTCCGCAACAAGCTACATAATAGAATCCACGACCTAGCCCTAAAACTCACCATAGACAGCATCATCAGCCTAGCCGTCAGCTGCTTTGAACGCATCATATTTTACTTTCAACAACAAGATCAACAAACAAATCCCAGACTGCCTATGGGCTCCCCTCTATCTCCACTCATCACTGAAATCGTCATGACATCCTTTGAAGAATCAGTCCTCTCAACAGCACCATTCCAACCCCACTGCTGGTACCGGGAAGTAGACGACACATTCCCCCAGATGTCCCCTATAGCTCTCACGTGTTGTGTGGCTAAGATATTCGAAAAATGCGGTTTTCTTAGACAGAAGACTGGCAGGTCGATTTCAACCCTAATAAAACAGTATCTATTCAATTTTCCCGGAAGATTCCTCCTAATGTAAAACCAGTTTGGAATATGAGTAACACTACAGTTCAGGAAGTTCATTCTCATAAACATCTCAGACTTACTCGCCAAGAAGATTGTATGTGGACCGATCACATTGATAGCCTAGTCAAGAAGGTCAGTCCAATGATTCACTGTCTCAGGAGTTTCAAGTATCGTTTAAATAGAAAAACACTGGAAACTATGTATAAATCTTTCATATTACCGCTGTTTGACTATTGTTGCCACATATTGGACAACTGCACAAAAGAACAGGCGTTACTACTTGAAAAACTGAATCTAGATGCACTCAGAACTATTCGTGGTGCTGTTCGTGGTACTTGTGTCACGGTACACTTTTATATAGAGGCAAATCTTACCTCATTAGAAGAAAGAAGGCATTTTCAGCAGTTAAATATCTTTTATAAAATGGTTAACACTCTAGTACCAGATTATCTCTCATCCTTAGTTCCAAATAGAGTGTCGGATGCAAGTGATTATCATTTGAGAAACTGCTCACAGCTGCAAAACATAAAGTGTAAAACAAATAATTATGCCAAATCATTTATTCCAGATACAGCCAATATTTGGAACTAACTCCCTATTGAATAAACTAATGCCATTAGTTTAGGAAGTTTTAAAAGTTTTACAAAAAGCAATGATAAGAACGGTATGCTGTCAGATCTGCAAGGAATGGTATATACTTTGATGTAAATTATGGATCAAGATTCTGTCAGGTTATACACTCCCGTCTCAGGCTTGGCTGCAGTGATCTAAACGCCGCGAAATTTGCCAGATTTTTGTACGAAAGCCCGAGATGTTGTTGTGGCTATCACTCGGAAGATGCACTTCATTTCTTTCTTACGTGTCTCTTAAACAGTACAGTAAGGCAAAATATGTATTAATTCGTAAAAGGCTACGATTTAAATTCAATTCTAAATGATAATTCACATTTAACGACTGCAACAAATCTTGAAATTTTGAAATCAGTGCACAGTTTTATTCTATCTTCTTGCCGATTTAGGGATTGTCTGAGATGTTGGCTTTGCTGTATGATACTGCGATGTTGTTGTGCTGGACGTAAATAATAACGTAGCTGTAGTTGCGAGAGATAATCCAGTAATAAAACACTTATGAACAATAATTATATTTTATGTCAATTTTATATGCTATTTCTCATGTCACTTTCAAACATTGTAATGTGTACGTGTATCACGTCTAGGAGCTGCATTCAGAGAAGCACAATTACACAAGCAGTATAAGTCCCAACCCCGAGGGTGTATATACAAGATGCCACGCAACTGTGACCGCTGGAAAAACCCTCAGGCCCCCGACACTAGACTCAATGAACGTCAGACCTCTGTCAAATCCACTATTTCCGAACACATCCTCTAGAACTAAGACCATAACATCATGTGGGAGGCCACCAAAGTCCTGTCTACCAACAACTGGCGACAAAGAAAACTACAAGAAGCCATTGACATCAGGAGACGTCAGCCAGCCATGAACCGTGCCTAGTGCTTGGAACTTACTGCTTTGATCTTTGTCGGTGCCAATTATCCATCTGGCTTCCATTTGCCCATTGCTATTTCTAATTTTTTTTACCTATGAGTGCTAATTACCCCCGGCCTCCCGTTTACCTATCAGTGCTAATTACCCCCGGCCTCCCGTTTACCTATCGGTGCTAATTACCCCCGGCCTCCCGTTTACCTATCAGTGCTAATTACCCCCGGCCTCCCGTTTACCTATCAGTGCTAATTACCCCCGGCCTCCCGTTTACCTCTCAGTGCTAATTACCCCCGGCCTCTCGTTTACCTATCAGTGCTAATTACCCCCGGCCTCTCGTTTACCTATCAGTGCTAATTACCCCCGGCCTCCCGTTTACCTATCAGTGCTAATTACCCCCGGCCTCCCGTTTACCTATCAGTGCTAATTACCCCCGGCCTCCCGTTTACCTATCAGTGCTAATTACCCCCGGCCTCCCGTTTGCCCATTGTCAATTACCAATCAGTGATAATTTAATCCTGGCTTCAGTTGTCCATAACTATCAGCGCTAATTACTGTAAAGTGTTGGCTTCCATTATCTAATGCTAATCGCCTATCAGCGCTAATTATCTGTTGGCTTCCCTCGTTAAGTTTCCACCTTTTGTTATCTTTTTACTTTTGTTGTTACATGTATATATATACACAGCATTCAATCACCTGAAGGAGTAAGCATATACTCCGAAACGTTGTGTTCCTCAAAATAAAGAAGTTGACATCTATAAACTCCCCTCCCTATGTGTATCACTTCTGCACACACTACCTAACACATCGAACCGCATTACAAACCACCCTCAATCTAAACAAGGCTCTAACTCTAGAAGCAATACTAAACCCACAAAATAAACTAGAAAACTTCAAGGCCTTAGGCGTATTCTTAATAAAAACGGAACTAATAAAACGCATCTAAAAACACATTAACCTACCAAATCAAAATCACATAAACAAACAAACATCCACCATACCCAGCTGCCTTTGTTCTCCTCCCCAATCCCATCGGCATCTATTCCAAATCTCAAAATTCCCAAATTCTATATAAGCAACCCCTAAAACCCCCCTCTTGGATTGCACAGACCACCTTCGCCCCTTTCGGAAACACATTAAATGGCCTGGCCGGGCCCGTGTGCGAAATACGCATCAGTCGGAAAGCGCACGTTAAATCTCCAAAGTAAGTAAGTAAGTAATGTATCACTTCTAAATGCCTTTCTAAGACTTGATTTCACATATTGTTTTCTCAGTAAACTTCAGAGGGCGTTTGCTTTCATTTTTAACAACTTGTCCTGAACCTCTGACTATAGATACGTCACTGTATCTGTGTTCACCACGTTTTGTAACAAAAACCCATGGATCAAGGAATGAAGTTTGTCATTTGGGATAGTGGTGTACAAAGTTGAAAAATCACATTTTTTGACAGAATGGCTCTTTTCTCAGATTGAGTTTTTAACTTGTCTCAAATACTTTCTGTGAATATAAAGAAAGTTTTCCAAGATTGTATCAAGGATTATGGTTAGTCTTTGAGACAGGGATTTGGGGGGACATGTGCAGGACGGTTTTTTATGGAGCTTTGGAATCCAGTAACAAGGAGGATTTTTTGGTTAATGCATACTTAACAGACATGTTAAAGCATAAAAAAACAAATAACTGAATCACAACAACAAAAGTAACAATTTATGGACTAATGTTTGGCTAATAAACGCATTTTTCCAAATTTGGTGCAAGAATGCATGTATCTTAAGTGCATCCCCCTTTTCCAGAAAGCTGTGCGGTCCTCTCCCTTCCTCATCCTGGATCCGCTCTTGCCTACAACGGATGATTTGTTATCCTCTGGATATACACTGCAGGCTGGCGTTACTGTAAGTCAGTAGAACCCTATGTAATATCAGGGGCAAAGGACAGGCATGGCAATATACTAGTACATGAACTGTTTTCATTAAAATCTTAACACTCCAGTCTTACTATTCTGTTTTCCACTTCACCAACATACGCAGATATGTTTGGGTCTGTCAGCATGCTGTGGTATGTAGAAGGGACGTAGTCTCGCCCGCGCAGCACGTTCTCATTAATGTTCACCACAGCCTCGAAGTCGTCCACAGTGGCTCGCCGACAGTTCACACTGACACTGGCTGTCTTCGCAGAGAAGAGTCGGTTGTGTCCATATCTGAGTCTGGTGGATAGTTGTTGCAAGCCGCATCTTATCATCATGGCTTATGGCTGTTTCTGAAAACAAATTTCATACAAATACAGGCTATAAAACAGTTTCAACAAGTTTAAGATATATGGAATGAGTGATTAAGATAATTCGCAACAATGACGTAACTGTATGAGGGCGGCTTCTCTGTATAAGTGTTTCAAAACTGTATATTGTATTTGTGTGAGTGAGTGAGTGAGTTGGGTTTAACAGTATTCCAGTTATATCGCGGCGTGTCAGCTTAATGTGGGAGGAAAGCCCGAAGTGAAGCAGGTCTCAGACGTTTACCACTTCGGTGAAACCCACGAGCACGGGTATGGTGCTGACAAACCTAGAAACATAATTGGGGCAAACCGGGATTCAAATCCACGATCATAGGTTTCTGGCGTGCCCA